AGTGATAAATATCTCTAGGAAACCAATCCATTTAAACGAATCCCTAAGCTTTCACCAATAAATTACCCGCACCTTAATTTCACAAATATTCCCCTTTATGAAATCATATCAAGTCTGTTCAAATTTGAAGAAAATTTTATGAAGAAACTCAATTCGAACTTTTTATTATTAGACTAATGATGTTTTTATTAAATTAAGATCAAGCATATGATGTAGCGATAGACTTGTACACGAAAGCCATAGAACTGGATGGCTCAGTGGCCGTGTTGTACGGAAACAGAAGCATGGCATATCTGAAGAAGGAGTTATATGGGAGTGCTTTGGAAGATGCGGCTTGCGCACTCAAACTTGATCCATCCTATATCAAGGGATACTATCGACGTGCTACGGCCAACATGGCACTAGGCAAATTCAAACTGGCCTTAAAAGATTATGATGCGGTTAGTGAATCTGATTTTCGTTTCTATTCTATTCATTGGATACGATTCTGTTGTTGAATTGAATGTACACGCATCGAAATGTATTAGTATCCAAAAGTAAATTATTTTTGTAACATATTTTGTAGTTATTATGGTCATTATCATTGTTCTGATTTTTATATTTATGGGTTCAGCAAATTTAACCTAGCTTTTATTGTTTTGCTTGTGCAGGTACGTAAAGCAAGACCATCGGATAAGGATGCAATGCGAAAATATGAAGAATGTCATAAGATTATCCGACGAAGAGCATTCGAAAAAGCCATCTCGATGGACCACGATCAGAGGAGTATTGCGGATTCGATCAATATTGAAACGATTGGTTCGTGGATCGATAATGTTTACTTCTGTATCGATTTCAAATATTTAGAAATATTCGATGAAACAACGGAAATATTTTCATATATATATATATGTAATTTTTTGTTCTGTTCATTGAAACGAGAAAATAATTTTGTTTTGGCCATTTCATGATCACTGCAGAAGTTGAGTCATCGTACGATGGACCGACGTTGGAGGACGAAATCAGTGCCGAATTTATGGTTCAGTTGATCAAAACGTTCAAAGCACAAAAGAAATTACACAAGAAATACGCCTATAAAGTGAGTGTCTCGTGAAGGTTTTTGTTTTCTGTAATAATCACAATAAAATGTCACTAACATTTGATCTAAACTGCGTGCTTGGTGTATCATTATGAGGTTTGTGTGAGGTGCTTTCATTTAGAAATTATCATCAGAGCAAATAAAATTCAATTCGAAGCAGAAGTCTCCTCATTAATTCTATTTTAAAGACATTCGGGTAAAATTGGTAAGCTGAAACTACGTGAAACTACGTTGAGCCTATTGAAAGAACTGCGAATCTATCGTAGAGTTTTTGGTCATGTCATACATTTTCCTAATGTTAATGTTTACTTTACTGTGCGTATCTCACGTCGTTATCAGATTTTTTTAAGTATTATTATGATATCTTGTTATCGTTCATCCATATTGATGTGTTATCAGTTTTCATACTGTATTACTATGTCAACGTTGATTGGAACACATATTTTTTTTTGCAGATATTATTAGCAATCCGAAAAATGTTCGGTGATTTACCAACGATGGTGGAAATTGATGTGCCGACGGGTCAAAAGTTCACGATTTGTGGTGATGTGCACGGTCAATTCTATGATCTTTGCAATATTTTCGACTTGAACGGTCTTCCATCCGAGCAAAATCCATACCTCTTCAACGGTGATTTCGTGGATCGAGGCTCGTTCTCGGTTGAGACAATCTTCACGTTGTTCGGCTTCAGACTACTCTATCCGAATCACTTCTTTATGTCTCGAGGTTCATTCAGTTCCATTATTTTTTTGACAATCTCGTTTCTTATCCAATGTTGGACTGTAAACCAATGTGATGTTGATTTTGTCAGAGTCTTTTTGATGGAAGTAAGAGCAGTAAAATTTGAACTCATGGAACACCATTTGTTATGTGGTGCTTTGTTTAACCAAGTGCCAATGGTAACGTTCTCGTTGCTTAGATATGAATTTTAAACGAAGAGAATTGTAAGGAATTGCTTAAATATGAATATTGAGAAGTGCAGGTGAATTATGTTATGTGTGTTAAAGAACATCTGTTTGGATACACATTAAGAAGAGAAATGATTTAGAAGTGAGAAATTATTAATAAGTTTATGTGGCATTATGAATAAAAGCAATTTTGTTGAGGTAATCATGAAAGTGAAGTGATGAATAAAATGTATGGATTCGAGGGTGAAGTGAGGAGTAAGTATACCTCACAAATGGCCGATTTCTTCACCGAAATATTCAACCATTTGCCACTCTGTCATCTCATCAATAGGAAAATATTCGTAGGTTTTGTTTTTTTAGTGATTCAAAGTATTTTCATTGACTTGATTTGTTTTGTTTACATTGGCTTGATTTTAATCTGTTTTGTTTGCTGGTTATATTTGATTTTATGGTGAAGCTGAATTGAATTTGTTGTAAGTATTCGTTTATAGGTTTGTCACGGTGGTTTATTCAAAGACGACAACACAACGCTAGATGAAATTCGGACTACGAATAGGGTTCGTCAACCGCCCGATGAAGGTTATTTTTATCATATGGGTTTCGTTTCAAATTAGTGATTGTTCGTACAATTCTTATTGATATTAGCATTTTAACGTTATTGGTAAAAATGATGATAATAACATCTATAATAATAATATTGAGCGTATCAAACAAATTTTGATTGGTGTAGTGATGTCGGTGTGTATTTTAAGGGATTATGTGCGACTTATTATGGTCAGATCCACAAGAGTTTGCCGGTCGATCTCCGTCAAAACGTGGTGTGGGCTGTCAATTCGGACCGGATGTCAGTGACGATTTTTGTAAACGTAACAATCTGCAGTATGTCGTTAGGTGGGTCGATATTCGGTGCTTGATTAGTTATTTAGATATCAGAAATGGCTTGTGACTGTTGTGGGATGATGGTGGTGAAAAAACAAAACTTGAGGTGATTTCAGGAGTCATGAAGTGAAACCGGATGGATATGAAATACATCATAGTGGAAAGTGTGTGACTGTGTTTAGTGCACCAAATTATTGGTTCGTTTAGCGTTTTGATTTAGTTTTTAATGAATATTATTGTTGAATAATTCAAATCATTGAATCGATTGATTTATATAATGAAATGAGGAAAGGGATATTGCAGTGATACAATGGGTAATAAAGGTGCATTTATCACAATAAAAGGAGGCGATTTGAAGCCTCGATTCACATCGTTCAGTGCCGTTGAGCATCCCAGTGTAAGTTTTTTACTTTTGTTCTTGCAGAATGATCTTTTGAATTAATCAGCTTGCCAGTTTGGTATAATCATGATCGTATAAATAATATTATTGGTAATAATTATAATAGTAGTGATACAGTTGATAACGGTGATATTTATCATAATGGTATTAAGAGGAAAAGGAGTTGTCATATTAATGAAAATAAATTTCAGGTAAGGCCAATGGCATATGCGAGTAGTTTGTTTGGATTTGCATAGTGAAAAAATTTATTTAATGCGGTCCTGGAATGAAATGAAATAAATAAACGATCTATTGAATTGTGTTCTGTTATATTCATTTGATCTTTTGATGATTGATAACTTTGATGAGAGTGAACGAACATGATTACAACTATTGTCATATTGAAGATGAATGTTATCATGCGGCTATCAATATTGATTATATTTCGCAGTGATCACATTGATTGTTATCATTGCTGTTATTTCGATGATTATCAATTTTACTTATGTTTACGATTATTTCTTCGTGGATTGTTCACTAACTAGATGTTATATGTTGACTTATTGAGAAAAAAATATCGTCTTATAAAAAAATTCGTTCTTTACACCATTTTGCACTATCAATACGTTTGTGAAAGAGGGTGTTTAGTGTTTTGATGAAAAAGTGTTTCAAAATTCTGGAATATCTCTAAAAATAGTCACTTTGAGATAATCATTCAGTTAGGTCGATGCTATTGTTGATGTGATTTATTGTTTGTTGGTTCAATGAACGATTAAGATTAACGATAAGTTTTGATCAAGTTTATTTTATATGATTTGAGAAGGCGTTTAGAAGTTAAAATGCAATATTGAACATATTTGGCAAGCAATGGCAAGAATACAATGAATCTCATTGAGGATGGGTGAATCAGTGTGTTGAGCTGGCATTACAAAATTTTTGACACTTGAAACACTGGCACACTGCGGCGTATTGAGGCAGTTATGGAACCGCTTTTACTGGGAAGCAGTTTTGTTGAAGAATCTATTGGCATCCAAGTGATCAGTTGATTTGATCAATTTTTTGGAGTGTTCGCTGATAAGTGCGATTCAAGCGAGCACTGAATCGTTGCGCGTGATTACTGGTGATTGAAGTGATTGAAGTTATATTCGCTATATCTTTCTTGTAATGATGTAGTATTGCATCATCTGGTGACATATAAGGCATTTTATAGTGATCTTGTATGACACGACTCGTGTGATGAATACCCTGAAAGGTTTGACTGGATTTGAATGAGATTTGATTCGTTCAATTGTCAAAAATCTATTCAATTGGATTTTGATAGCAACTCCAATCAAGATCAATGATGAATGTGGTTACGGTGGAAATTTCATGGAAAACCGTCGTTTCACAGATAGCAATCAACAAAAAGTGTATGGATGATTCTATATAATGAACGATTGCTTCAAAATGATTCAGTGCTTATTTCGAGCAACTAACCTGCTCAAAAACCATCTCAGGTCTGAGAACACATTTTGTAAAACGGTTATCGAGGCGCGGTTGTGACTTGACGTTATTCACTGTGATCAGTGTCTCGTTTCTGCAAGAAACAACACTCGCCGATCAGAACTATTGCTTTTTTTCAGACAGGGAACGGGGTGGAGTGTTCTGTTTCACTCACAGTGAACTATGAGAATTTCGTGCCTTAAAAAATCAACAATATCGCGATTTTCTATCGCTGGAATGGAATGTGCTGATCAAAGGAAATTCGAATCAGTTGATTTGTTTTCAAATGATCAGTTAACATGATATATAAAATTTCAATTGAAGTGATCATTTTTGGTGGTGTATTCATCTGAATCCTTTAATTCAGTTGATATTCTATTGCCTTTGAATTATACATTGAATTCATTTATCATAAATTTTTGAATATTTCAAAATTTTGTAATCTTTCAAATGACCGAATACAATCTCCAATTGAGAACACTCACAAACAATTCGGCTGAGCCAACATAATGCCATCCGGTTTGATGACTCGTAGTTGTTTTTGCTGTCAAATTAAAGGAGTGTTCGGATAAACGACATCTTAAAACATGGATATGAACTGTCAACGATAATTGCTCACTCGATCAAAAACCGTCGCGACGGTATACGATAGCTTGCGATCGACTCATTGAAGATCTCGTTGTATAAGTCCAGCAAGTTGTCGTGCTTAATCGGAATGATGAATTCGTCCAGGTCGTGAAACGACAAATATCGTGTCACTCCAATATTTCAAAAATATTTTCATTTTATTCAAAAATATTTTCCTTTTTAATACTTCTTCATCATCACATCAACAATGATCAATCAAAAAAANTTTTTCAAATGATCATAAGGAATGGCAATGTTTACTTCTTTGATTGTATGCAGTGTAAATCTCAACAAACAATACTTGTCTGGTCGGGAAGACTTCTTTGCCTATTAGATCACTAAACAAGTTGAAAAAAGTCGACGAAGTTGATTCGTAAGGTGTAACTTACCTATACAAACAATCCGTAATGGTGATCAGCTGACCGTGATACCAAATATCCTCAACTGGAGGTGTATACTCTACCAATTCAAGTAATCTTGAAATGCAGTCATTTATTAGTGATTTCACGATTAGATCACCATAATTTTCGAAAGCTCAATTGAATACTGCCATAGATATTCGTATACTCGTAATCATTAAATGACTGAATAAAATGGTGATTTTTGCAAGAGTCCCAGAAGATTTCTCATTTGTCAGTTCAATCATCATACAATTCAATAAGATTTATCAGAATATGCTTTTGCTTTTCACTGAAACAATTTTGTTCCATTGGAAAAACAAAAATAAGCACATTTCAGTGGGATTCAAGCATAGAACAGTTATCCTCTGGAACCAAACGCTATGATGCTTTGAATCTCTTGGAGAATTCATTTCTCTGAACTATTGGAATATTTTTGGATTGAAATTAAGAGTTTAAATTAACCAAAATCGTGTAATCCAACTTCAAATTATCGTCACTGTCTTATGTACAACATCATGATTTACTACAATTTTCGAGTATATGTCAATGCTTTTACTCACATCACCAGTACCTCAGAAACTTCAGAAAACAATCGCATTTGAAAATCGATTTTGATTGGAATTTATGCTATACGGTTTTCTCATCAGTTGGCCTACCGTAATCCAAAGTCCATATACTACTGATCACTATAGATGAACATATGCATTACTGTAGCGCTAGGGGGGTTACCATCTTCAATCTAAAACCAACCAACCCTGTCGTTGCGTAATATTCAATTGTTTGTCGCACTTGATCAGGCAATGCATCTTTATGAGCATAAATATTCACGCGTTCAACACCGAGTAGCCGATTCAACTCAAAAAACTCCACTAAACGCTCTTTGCTATACACCGTACCGAACAGATACGGTACACAAACAGCATACTCTACGGAATAGGTGCCGATCGGAGTTTGTGCAGGTATGCGATACGTGATCGGTATGCGACTCTCGTGAATGCCATCAGTTAAAGTCCACTCATAAATCTTGTCCAAATCCAAATCGGAATTCCCGGCTGGATGATGTTGATCACTTGATGATGTGTTCGATCGGGAATATACTCGTGCATTCGATGAACAACAGCAACAACTCAGAATAAATGTACCGTACAGTTGTGAATGATTCTCGGCCAGCTCATAGAGCGATGCCTCGATCTGAATTTGTTTATCACCACCATCGGAAACCAGATCAAGTTTACACCAGTAACGCGCTTCTCTATAAGCGTATTTGACGACACCAGCACGTATGCATGCGTAATCCATGTTACCGTTACGTTTGTCTACGAATGAGCTGAACACGAAAAGATGCTCAGAGAATTGTATTTGTTGAACGGAGGCAGATGAGGAGGAATTCGAAGAAATTGATTGTGAAAATGGCGATTTTGATTGGAATTCATTTGCTTTCGATGATAACAATGAGGATGAATTGGATGATTTCTGCGGGATTTTAGTGAATTTTGATCTGGAAAGAGAGTGTTTTGATGAGTGCTTAGGATAAGATTGTTTTAGTATGATGGTAGGGAATTGTGGTAAGGAACTGAGATTTGTTCGTTTTGAGGGGGATGGTGGGAGTTTGAAAGAGATTGTTGTTTCGGAGTGTGATGACGACTTTTCAGCTGATAACGTTAATAATCTCGGTGGCACATTTGGCTTTCTTGAGCGAAATTCACCAGGCTCGAGTGGTTGCTCTAGCTGTGTACGTGGCTGCTGCTTTTTACGATGACGGTTCGCTCTGATAGCAGCTCCTCGATTCGGAGAACGAATCTTCTGAGAAAGTGAATCGGAAGATAGGGATACCGATAGATGCGATAAGCGAGTTGAAGGATGAGGTACAATATTGAGGTGTTTGGCTCGGTGACGTGAATCAAACGCCGCATCGATATGATGATCATCAAAATAGTCCACTTCTGCTGGATATGCTTGAAATTGATTGAAAAGAAAGACGATAGTGAATAGAAATACGAGTACAATGAATAAAAATAATTTGATGTACAACCGAGTCATGACGAATTGTAAATACTGAATGGCGAAAGTACATCTGTTGATA